GCGGAAGAAAAACTGTGGCCGGGTTTGTGTAGACAAAAGGGGGATTTTGAAAGGGTTTCAGGCTAACCTGAGAGGGTATGCCATTTGGAGGAACCCTTTGTGGATTGGGAAAAGTCGGAAGGATTTAAGGGGTTTTCCCATTATTTTTTAAATTTTTTTTTTTTTTTTTATTATCACACGGGCCGTTCCCACAAGGCAGGGGGGCCCCGGGAAAAAAAAAAAACTTTCACCCATTCACCCATCACTGTCTTGCCGGGAAGGGTGTTTTTCACTACAGTTTTTTAATCTGAAACCCATTAACACCCCTCCTTCGGGATTTGCGGGGCACTGTATTCCCATCCCCAAAGGAAACTCAAGCCCGGGCCCTCCCGGTTTCCCTGAATCCCTTCATAAATGTTACTTTGCTCCCACTCCAACAGCACGTCAAGTATTAAAAAACCTTTTTGTTCCATTCACTCCTTTTAAAACAGGGCTCACGCATCCCTGCTGGAAGTCCAAGCCCCCGCACACAAAACCCCCTTTCCCCCCTCCCCCAACCCTCCTTTGGCCAAACCCCCTTTCCCCCCCTTCCTTCCACACAGAGGGATACACCTTAAAAGTCTTTTCTTTTTTCGCCCCCATTCTTTCTACATTTCCCGAACCCCCCAAAAAAACCCCTTCCTCAGCCCTCTGGACAAAGTTTTGGAACCCCCGCCCCCCTCCAACTTCCAAACTACGAATTCTTGATTTTTTCCACCCCCAACATTCCCCTCAGCAGGGGACATTCTCCACTGCCCCCAGCCTTCTCCTCGCGAAACTTTCCCATCCCCCACCCCTTCACACCCATAAAAGAGCTTTGGGGTTAAAAACTTTACTCTCATACATTCCCCCTTTGCCTCCAAGGACAAATTCTTTGTCCCCCCACAGATCCTAATTTGCCCACTCCTTTTTTTCCCTCATCAATTTATGTTTCCCCCCATCTTTCTTAGACCCTTTCCGCTGAAAAGTCCACTCCCAAATTTCTAAAATTACGTTACCTCCTCCATACTTTTCCCCCCCAATTTGATTTTTAAATTTTTCCCAATTCAACCTAATCTTTTTGTTATCCTCATAACCTTCCCTCTTTCCTGTTTCCCTTTTAAATTTTTTTCTTTTGAAAACCCTCCCAAAAATTCATCCACCAATCTCGGAATTTCTTTCAGAATCCCCCAAGAGCCATTTTGTCATCAGCAAGAGCAGCTGTGAAAACCTCCCACTTTGTGTGGGGTTTCTTTATTTTTTTTAAACCTCCACGCCTCTTGGGCCAAAAACCCTGCATTTACTTTTTTTAAACCCCTTATAAAATATTTAAAACAACACGGTGACATCACACATCCTTGTCAAAGGCCCCCTACTTTTACGGGGGAATTTTTTTCCCCTCTTTCCTACATACCTAATTTGGACCCACACTATCCTCTTTAAAAAAACCTTCCTGTTTTCAGAAACCCTTTCCTCAAAACCATAACTTGCAAATCGGGCCACATTGCCCCCCACCCCACCCTGTCATACCCCCTTTTTTCCAAAAATCCATAAATGCCACAAAGCCCTTTCTTTAGCTTATCAAAATTTAATGTTCCTTATATGTTTCATTTAAAACCCTGGTCCACACACCCCCTCCCCTTTCCTAACCCTCCTTTTTCATTGCTTTCCTTTTCTCCGTCTTATTTCTTAATTTTTTAAATTTTTAAACCTCTCCCATACATTTTTCCGGGTTTACACTAAAACGGGACTTATCCCCCTATAATTTTTGCACTTTTTTTTCCCCCCTTTCCCTTTTTAAAAAGGGAAAAACTTGCATGCTCTCTCCCAAATTCCCTGGGTCCCCTTTTACCCTTTCCAAAAATTTTATTAAAAAAATTTTCCCCAACCCACCCCAAAAACAAATTTTTCCCCCCCTGCTTTTAACATTTCTATTTTTTATCCCATCAATCCCGGCTGCCTTACCCCCCCTTTTATTTTACCTACTGCCTCACGAAAATTCCCCCACACTCACAACTGGGGTTTTTCCTCATCCTACGATTTTTTATTTCCCCCTTGCCCTTAAAACACGAAAATTTACGCTTCCCTTTCTTAAACAAAATTTAAAAAATTTTCCCCAAAATATTCCCCCACTTCCCAATAAAAACTAAAATCTCCTTTTTAAAATCTCCTCTCCCATTTTTAAAATGGGCAAATCCATTTGGTTTTTCTGGCTTTTTAACTTGTTTAAACTCATTTCCAAAAATTTTTCTTATTTTTTAACAAAAAAATTTTTGATAACATCTCACCCCACTTTCATTTGTTCTTTTTTTTAAATTGCTTCACCCCTCTCTTAAAATTCTCTCTTTTTCTCCATTTACTCTTCCCCCCTTGCATCACTTCTACTTTGGGAAAAAAATTCTCATTGCTAACCCTTTTTTTCCCTTTAAATACTCTCTTTACATCTATTCCAAACCCAAACGCTCCTTTTTTCCCTCCTGCACCCACTATTTCCCGTAACCACAAACTTCTGCGAACACTCTAACACTACAATTTTTTTTAAAACCTTTCCCCCTACCTCTTCGACACCCCCTTATTTCTTATAGGGGGAAAAAATTTAAATTTGGTTAACGAAAAAAAATCGGTTAAGGACAAACTCTCTGGAAAAATTTAAAATCGTTAAAATGAGGGGTTTCCCCTGTACTATCATCCTGCCAAAAGTGAAAAAAAGGGAAGCCTTTTAATTTTTTTTTACTGAGGGGAGGGTTGGTGGTTTTTTTTTACCATCTCATTAAAATTTCAGGTATGTCTTGCTACTTCTACTTAGGTCACCTTTCACGTGCCTTTTAAAAGCATATATTTACCACCCCTTTGGGGTTTTTTTATTTTCTTGCTTTGTTCTTGGTCTTGTTTATTTTTTCCTTTTCTTCAAGGAGAAGGGGGAACAGAATTTTTTCCCCCATAAGCTATGGGGGGGGGTATCATAAGGGCAACTAACATTTCCAGGAGCAAGGGGGTGAAAACCCCCCTTTTCCCCTTTATTTTACTTTAAAATTTTAAAAAGAGATTTTTTTTTTTTTTTTTTTGGGGGGGGGGGGGGTGCCCTTGGGGGAATACGGCCCGTTTGTTTAAAGAAAAAGTATGGGGTTAATGGTTTGGGGGGCTCAAATTCCCATTTATCAAAATTCCTACCTTTGGGAAAAGGGAAAAATTACAGGAATACTAAAATATTAAGAAACACCAAAAGATTTTTGTTTTTTTCCATTTGGGGCATCTCCCAACAAGGTAGGGAGACCCAAAAAAAGAAAAACCCCTTTACCTCACTCACGCAACCCCCTGTTTTTTCCAGAGCCTGCTAAAAAATTTCGCTCACATGCCCCTCCAAACCTCTTTAAAGATAAAAAGATGAAGATTTTTATTTCTTTGCAAAGGTTACAATGTGTAATTACAATTTTGTTTTGTTAAGAACAAAGAAAGCCACTATTATGCAAAAGCATTTTGGGCAGACTAATCCTGATACTTAAAAACTACTTAAGTCTAGAGGGGATAAGAGTGCTTATCTTTTTAATAAATCTTTATTTTATCTTAATACTAATGTGAGGCAGTCAAAGATGGAGGTTTATAATAATAATAATATCTTTATTCTACCAATAATTCTTCTTCCTTCCAGCATCATCCTTCTTATAACTACAAACCACTGTTGCACACACTAGCAATGCATTCTTAACCCACACTATACATTCTCATCATATTCTCTCCTAGGCTGCCTTTCTACAAACATTTACTCATACCTCTCACTAACCATCTCCCTTTATTCATTCACTTACCTTTTTACCCACTAAAATGTTCTCTCTACTCCACCATAATTATGGACTATCTATATAGAACATACAATGCCATATACAAATTGTAATCAAAATTTGTCTCAAAAGTACTGCACTGTATCTTAATATATTTATTACAGTATTACTGTTAAATTATAATTATTACTTTCAGTATCATTTGTTACTTGAGTTTCACCTCAAGATCCACTCCTCCCTTCACATCAACACACAAGCTGAGAGATCTAGGATTTACTGTCAAAGATACATGTATGTATTTCTAATGCAAAATAATTTAGATATCATTTTTGACCATATTTCATATGAAACTTCATCATAGAGGCCCATTATGGTAATTCTTTGGTTGATTACCAAGAAAAATTACATGTCAGATCATGCTGAGAAATCTCATGATATTTATATGGTAAGTTAAGCTTAAAGGCCAGACTGAGACAAGTTTGCAAAAAAAATAAAAGTAGTTTTGTAGATAAGTGATAGAGCATATGAATTTGGAACATGCGTCTTAGAAGAACTACATTTACACATTTTTACACTTTAGAGAGAGTACAAGGCACTTTTGTGAATGAAGACTGCATATTACAGTACTACTCTTGAGATGAGAATAAGAGAAAAGGGTCAGAGGGTATAAGTTGGACTAGGAGGAAGTTGGTTGAAGGGACTCTGGTTAACCCAGGTAGTCAGTTACAAAGCCACATTTTAAGTGGCATTACCAGGCATGAGGTAGGCCATGTTCTTAGCATCATCACGTTCCCTCTCGCTACGCAGGCATACAGATGCGCCCGAGAACAGCAGGGCGGAGATGAGTGTCCAGCCAACACCAATCCAGGCGATGAAGTAGGACCAGTCGTACACGACGCCAGTGTTGTCACTCAGCAGCTGTAACACCACAACCATGAAGCGTTAACTAGATAAGCCTGACCATACACACCAGCACCATGGAGCACAAGAAATACTGTGCTAGCTACCATCCTTCAACTGCTACCAGCCAATCTTCCTGTTAAAGCTGAGGTGGTACTATTATAGGCTGGCACCACCTGTATGTACACATTAGGACACCCTACAAGGATTTCCTGGTGAGGAATTAGTATGAGCACCATGCACTGTTATTTCATGCAAGTTAGTTTGGTGATGGTGGTGGACATGTAGGTGGATAAGTAGAAGGTCGAGTGTCACAGCTGATACCTGGCATAATGTACTGCATCTGCTTAGCCTGTTCATTTTGTTGTTCAGCTTGCATGCACTGCGATGCACCCAGGAACAGGCAGAATGCCATCAGCGCCATACCAGTTCCAATCCAGGAGATCATGTAAGACCAGTCGTACTGGATGGTAGTAGCATCCTGCAATGTCTAATGAGGAAGGAAAGGATGAAATGCAAGACTGCTAACAGTATGGAAATGGATACAAGCAAGGGAAAGAATAAAGTACAGTACTGAACATAATCATCACAAATTTACTTTAGCAGTCTGTCAGTACAATACCGTCACACCTGCACTTATGGGTATTACTTTTTTACAACTGTGTACACTTTCTTAAAAAAAAAAAAATTGCATTGCTGTCTTGTATATAAAGTGTAGTTGCACAATACTAAAATGTCTCCATTCCCTTTTCAACTAACACTGCTATGCTGTATGTAATAATCAGAAGATGTTGTTGTGTTGAGAGTCCTAAGTGAGAACAGTATTGTTAGGTTCAGGAAGTTAGTATGCAAACTTGAGTTATGCTATGAATCTCAGAATATAAATAAATTATCAAACTCATGAAATGTGCAGCAATTGCTGATAAATTGTAATGTGTGGTAGTGTCAGTTATTCACTGGCCATTATTAGTGTTGCTATGCTACATTAACTTCTGAGATGTTATACTATTGTGTTGCTTGCCTTGCTTTTCCACCCATACCTTGCAAAACTGCCTTACATTTTATTAATTTACTATATACTATATTGCAATTTTCTCCATGGGGAAGCGGAACGGGATTCTTCCTCCGTAAGCCATGTGTCATGAGAGGCGACTAAAATGCTGGGAGCAAGGGGTTGGTAACCCCTTCTCCTGTATACATTACTAAATCTGAAGAGAAAAACTTTAATTTTTCTTTTTAGGTCACCCTGCCTCAGTGGGATATGGCCTGTTTGCTGAAAAAAAATGCAATTCCTTTAGAGTAGCATATTTGCAAATTGCTAATCAATTTTTTTTATAACAGCAATGTTCCTATCATTTTCACAGTAATCCCAATGTACAAGTCAAGTCAAGTCATGTTGGAAGGTAATCTTTAAAGCTGCTATAGCTATAGAACCTAGGGTGAAATGCTTCATATCTCACTACTTGAAGTCTTCCAGCTTAGGCTGACATTTTTCATTACCTAGTTGAAAAGTCCATCCTGAATGATAAAGTATGATGGGTGTCTTAGGTTAATTTACTTAGGCTTTCATCAGGGTAGACATAATGTGGTGTATCCAATTTTCCTATAGAAAATAAAGTGTAAAATAATCACATTATTTGTAGTTTACATGGAAAAACTGAAAACAAGAATTTTATCATGTAAAGTGCTCTAAAAAAAGTGAAAAAATTACTACAGTTAATAAAAATTAAGAGAGGTAATTAAAGATGGTATTTAAAAGATCAAGATTTAATGAAGACTATATTGGAACTTTAGCATTTTAGGGCATACTGGAGTAAATTTTATTGTTGCTCTACCTTGAGATGAATAAGAATGTCCTGCACCCAATAAACGCATGCATAAAGGAAGTTTATCTTAGTTATGAAATGTGATAAGGTAACCACTCTAGACCATGCAATATTAGTATTATTGTAATTAAAAGTTGTAATATTTTGTGTGGCTAATACTGTGATATGGAGTGGAATCAGCTGACTACAATAGATATAAAACATTAGGAATATAGTTAGATTAAATAAGGGAAAATATTTTTAGTGAACAATGATTACTCAGATTAGAGAAACTGCATGCTGACTGCAATGTGAAGGATAAAACTATATCAAATACACGAATTGGTGGCTCTGTTGCGAAATTTGGTTCAGCTTGCCCTGATTCATGAAAATACATGCATGTCTAAAATTTGCAAAAAGAATGTCAAGGAAATATATAAGGTAGGAAAAAATTAAGATTTGGACAATGTATGAAGAGATTCTTAAAGAGTAAAAAATATAAACGAGAGAGATGATATGGACGAGAAAACATCATCTAAAGGTTCCTCTCTGAAGTGTGAATTATTTGAGTAATATCAAGTGTAGAAGTGGCAGGTTCAAGACCAAGCATGAGACACTATATGTACAAATAAAAATAAACATCTACAGTCAGGGGAAGTGCTAATCTAAAACACTAGCCATGTGCAACAATTACTAAGTGTGGTGACAGTCTTAGATAATGTAAGGAGCAATGCTGGATGAGAATTATTCAAATTTTAAATATTGGTTAACAACAGGGACAAACATTTTACATTCAATATTATGATCAAAAAAGAATTACATTAACTACAGATTTTATACTGAACATCATAATACTAGTACAGTAGTTCATTCTCATTGAATATACAGACTAGATTACCAATTTGTATTCTTAGTTCTCTTATGACTCAAAATTCTTAAATATATATTCATATATTCATTCAAACTATAAATTCTTTAGGTTTTTTCATCCAAGGGGTGGCTTATGCTAATGAAGGGCTCTTGATTCAAGGAATTAGAGGTACCCTAACTTTCCCTGAATACCAAATGATTACTTCCCATTACCAAGGTGCTGTATGATGTCTACAGATTCAGTGCTTCTCCAAGATAGTAATAACCTATTACAATGTTTTACTTATGTTATAACCCTTTTCACTAAAAACTCGTCTGTTCTGCTCTATCAAATTTACTTGCTTATTTTCACTTTAAGATTCATTACAACCCTGTGAATTGGTCTGTTTTAACATGTGCCACCTCTTGTTCAAAGCTGGCTCACCTCTCCAAAACAAGGTGGGTTTCCATGGACTGAGTGCAATTCATGGACAAAAAGCCCAGCATTTTCTTGCCTAAATGAAAAGGATACAGTGGAACTCCGAGTTTCGTATGCCCTGACTATCATATGCTTCAAGTTTAGAACAGTTTTTTCGGCTCAATTTTGTCCCAAGTTTCGCACTGTGCCCCGTGTTTCGTCCCGCGTACCAGACCTGTCTGCCTGCCCCAGCAGTTAAGAGTCAGTGTGGCTTTGTTCCTCCTCGAGTGAATAGTCATTTTCATTAATCCATAACAAACAAAGTTTATTTCTTTGAAAGGTTACATTGAGATTATGAAATTACAATAATGGGGTACAGTGCAAAGAGGGCCACTATCATGCCTAGGCATTATGGGCAGACTTAATTTAATGGCTTACATTCTACTTAATACTAAAGCAATTGATCACAGTTTGTTTAAGTTATGCATCTTCTATGTTTATAGCAGACAGTAGTTTTACTCTAATTACAATAGTTTCAATAATGAATATTGAAATTAATTTATGGGAATGTACCATTGTGAGCTGTTGAAAGTAGTTACAGTATGAGAATGCTACAATGTTTTGTAAGGCAGTATTGTTTTGGGAAGGTATTTATACTACAAAGTAGGATTAATAATGTATGAACTTTGGGCATCTAGATTTGGGGTTTTAAGGTTTGGATAATTTTTTGGTAAAGTTAAATACTGAGTACTGAGTATTTAGTTTAGGGCGAGTAGGTGGCTTTTGAGAAGAGCCTTAAACTGGTGTTCTGACCTGATTACTTTAGTATATACTGTTAATGAATTCCAAATTTTGGGGCCCTTTATGAGCATAGAGTTTTTACACAGAGAGATATGGACATGGGGTACATCAAAAAGAGATCTGTGTCTTGTGTTGTCGTCGTATATCCTGTTAAGGTTGGTGGGGAGAAGTTTGAGTAGAGGGTTTATGTTTGAGTGTAGTGTTCTATGTATGTAGTAGGCACATGAATAAGTATGGATGTTCTTAACAGTGAGCAGTTTTAGACTTTTGAATATTGGCGGAGTATGCTGTTGGGAGTGGGAATTTATCATCATTCTGACTCCAGCCTTTTGCTGGGTTATTTGTGGTCTTAGGTGATTTAATGTTGTTGATGTGAGATAAGGGTAGATGAGTGAATGATACAGTGCAAGGAGAGCTGATTGTGGAACACAGTACTATATCTTTGATAGTATGCCCATTGTCTTGGAGATTTTCTTGGAAATTTGTTGTATGTGTGTCTGGAATCTGAGGCTACTGTCAAGGTGGATTCCTAGGAATTTTCCCTCTGAGAGTCTTGTGATGGGTGATCCGTTTAGCATTATGTTAAGTGGAACATTTGCAGCTCTGTTTCCAAACTGAATGAAATAGGTTTAGACAGTGTTGAGAGTAAGCTTATTTGTCATCATCCAGGTAGATATTTTCTGCAATTCAGCATTAACAGTGTTAGCCAGTTTGACTGGGTTTGGGCGAGAGAAGACGTATGTTGCATCGTCTGCAAATAATATGGGTTTGAGTAGCTGTGATGCATTCGGTAGGTCAATGATGTATATGAGAAAGAGGAGTGGGCCAAGGACATTTCCTTGTGGGACACCGACTGTGATTAGTTGAGTGGAAGAGTTTGCTCCATTTGTGTACACATATTGGCTTCTGTTACTAAGGTATGACTTTAGGTAGTTGAAGGAGTGCCCTCTTATACCCTAGTGTGTTAATTTAACGTGCAGCAAATCATGGTCAACTGTATCAAAAGCTTTACGTAAATCAATGAAGATTCCCAGTGGGACTTCTTTCTTCTCGAGAGCAGTGTATATTAGTTCCAGCATGTGTATAATAGCATCATTTGTGCTTTTATTAGTCCTGAATCCACACTGACAGGGGTTTAGTATGTTGTGTGAGATGAGGAAGGAATAGATCTGCCTACGAATTAATTTTTCAAAGATTTTAGAGAGCAGAGGTAGGTTAGATATTGGTCTATAGTTATTCAAGTCAGTTTGATCACCACCTCTGTGGGTCAGGGTGACCCTCGCTATTTTGAGAATTGCTAGAAGGTGAAGGATTCGATGGATTTGTTAAAGTGTTGCAATAATTGGTGACAGTACTTGAGATGCTTTTCTGTACATAAAACGTGGTAAGTTATTTATGTCCCCTGCCTTATTTTTAAGGGTGTTGATGACGAGCAAGACTTCTGTTGGATTGGTTGGGGCTAGGAATAGTGTTTTTGGGTAGGTATTTTGTGAGAGTGAGGTATCTGTGAGATTTAGTCTGTGATGCAGTTGTGGACAGTCGCAGATTTGTTAATGTTTTAGTCCGATGTTATTTTCTAGTGTTGACGCAATCTTTGCATTGGTCAGATTCAGTTTTTGAGTTCTGTTATTGTCATATGGAGTGTTGGTTAGATTAGATCTTGGAGAAGAAAACATTTAGTCTGTTTGCTGTTTCAGTTGGTGGGAGCAGGGGTTCGTCAGATTTTGTTAATTTGATCTTTTTAGTCCCTAGAATTTTGGTTAGGGTTTTCTAGGTCTTTTTCACATCACCTTTTATGTTATGTAACCTGTTTTCATAATACAATTTTTTTGACCACCTTATCAGGCTGGCAAGGATTGACGAGTAATGTTTAGACTGGTTTCTAGTTATTTGTCCTATTCTATACTGTTTTTCATATAGGTGCTTTGTGTTAATGGATTTAAGGATGCTTGGTGTTAGACAGGGACTGTTCAGTCTCTTAGCTGTGATCTGTTTAGCTATTTTAGGGCAATGTTTGTTATATAAAAAGTGCTTTTTTTTTTTTTAGAAAATTATTAATACATTCATTTGTATCTGTGTATGTTTCAAGCTCATTATGCCAGTCAACACTATTCATAACTGTTATAAAGTTATTAACAGCTGTCTCGTTATGTAGTCTGAAGGTAACTTTAGTAGTGTCTTGGGGCAATTTACCTAGGTTGGTTATGAGAAAGGTAGGGTAGTGGTCTGTGGTGTTGTCTGTGATTATGCCTGATTTTAAAGGGGATATTGTGTTAGTCCAGATGTGGTCTAATAGGGAGAAAAGGGAGATTCTTGTAGGTTTTGTTATTGTTGGTAGCAACAAGCAGTTGCTCATAGTGTTTGTGAATTCGGTTACTTGTGGTTCCTGCTCATTTTGTAGATTTATGTTGAGATCTGTGAGCAGCAAGTGGCCTTTGTTCATATGTGCATCAGTTATCATGTTTCTTAACTTTTTCACTAAAATGGTAAATGTTTGACTGTGGTACTCTGTAGATGTTTAGCACTGAGGGGTTTTTGTAGGTCTTTTGATTTAAATTTAGTTATAATATATTCTCCATGTTCGTCCCTTGTGCAAGAATTTTTTATACATTCAAGATGATCTGAGTAGTATATAGCTGTTCCAACCCCTTGCTGTTCTGTTCTACAGTTGTGAATGGCTGTGTATCCAGGAATGGCATAGACATCTGTAGTACCAGGCTTTAGCCAGGTTTCTGTGTATGTGATGATTGACATACTGGTATGAAGGGAACTGAGTAATGCTGTGAGGTCATTGTAATGTTTGCTCCAAGATCTGACATTGTAGTTAAAGATAGTTATGTTATTGTTGGCTCTGAGAAATGTCTTTGCTCGGTCTGCTGTAAAATAATTACAGTTGCTGTTCGATTCGCGTAGGTCATTTAATAAAAGGTTAAGATCGGGATCAATGCTTGTAATCATAAGAATGTGAGTTACTCTACAACTAGACTTTTGAATAGTGTTATGTTAAACTTAATAATTATGATACTAAACTAATTTATCTTACTAGCTAATGCATTGCTACAAGTCATTTTTTAAAAAAATACAGAGTTACAGTTTACTCTTAATATGGTACAGATTTGATGATTTAATATTGAACAATGATATTTTCTTCAAAATTATATAAGAAACACATTACACAGTATATATAAAAACAATGTTTATACGCAATGTATGTTTAATAACAATAATAATATAGACATTTTCATTAATCCATCTATGATATTTTCTTCAAAATTATATAAGAAACGCATTACATAGCATATAAACATAGAATATAAACATGCAATGTTATATGTTGCCGAGTGGTGAGAAGCAGCGTTAGAGAAAACTGAATCTGGTGTCTCACCCCGTAACCACCCTTAATATGTAAGGCTTTTGTTTATAATTCTCGGCATGAATTATTCATTATTTCTCCCATAGTTTATGATGGCATCTAAAGGTAGTTGTTAGAAACGATTAAACTCAGTGAGCATGGTATGTCAATGTAATAATATGGCTGTGTAGTGTAATAATGTGGCTGTTTAGTGTAATAATATGGCTGTGTAGCGTAGCCCAGGGGTGGGCTACATACGTGTGCTTACATCAACAGCTACCAACACTGAATTCCTACAAATAAATGCTACTCACCTCTCGCCTTACATTAAGACTACAAATATTTTAAGGTAAGTAATGAGTGTACTGTAGCAGTAAAAGACAAAGAAGGGAAATAACATTAGAGGGCTTTGATACCTGAAGTCCTTGTGGAGGGGGATTCCCAACTCCCTGGAACGGATTAATTGTATTTGCATTAATTCTTATGGGAAATATTACTTTGTCTTTAGTACTAGCTCCTGGAATGGATTAAGTATGAAACTCAGGGTTCCACTGTATTAGCTCATTAAAATTTTCAGCATTGTATAACCCCAACAGGTTTAGGACTTCACATGAAAAAATTGGCTCACTTTAATTGTTTCAGTATACAGTAAAACCTTGATAAAATGGACCTCTATAAAGTGGTTACCAGATAAAATTGGTAAAACAAAACAAAAAAAAAAACAGCCAGACAAAATCTGAACATATCTACTTAATGGAATGTCTAATAAAAATACCAGTGCAGCAGACCAAATCTACTATATTGCATGGCTTTCTGGTCCAGTCTTCCCATGGATAAAGTGGACCAAGCCTGATTAATCACAAGTTTGTATGGTCCAGACCTCATCATGGATACAACCATTTTTCATTGTTCTTGGGCAGAGGGGCCAGTGACTCAGCCCATGTCAGTTTGTGACTGTGTGCACTCATATACCATCATTTTATCTCCATTTTTTCTGGATTTATAGTGACTGACTATTAAATAGATAGGTTGGTCTCCCACACCATCTTGTGACTCAGAGCAAGTATAAATGGAAAACAGGAATTAATAAAGGGGATGTAAATAGCGTGCTAAAAATATCTAACAGACAGGACTCGCAGCAATGGTTTTAAATTGGAAAAATTCAGATTCAGGAAGGATATAGGAAAGCACTGGTTTGGTAATAGAGTTGTGGATGAGTGGAACAAACTCTCGAGTACCGTCATAGAAGCTAAGATGTTGTGTAGTTTTAAAAATAGGTTGGATAAATACACGAGTGGGTGTGGGTGGGTGTGAGTTGGACATAACTAGCTTGTGCTACTAGGTCGGATGCTGTGCTCCTCTCGTAAGTGACGTGTCTGACCTCACTAGGTCAGCGAGGTTAAGGTCACTAGGTCAGTGAGTTTAAGCCAGTGGGAGAATTGGACCTGCCTCGTATAAGCCAGTAGGCCTGATGCAGTGTTCCTTCTTTCTTATGGAGTCACCACTAAACCACAAGTCAATACTATACATCTGGAAGCTCAGAATGGATATAAATGCTCTGGAAAACATACAGAGGAGGATGACAAAGATGATCCCATGTATCAGAAATCTTCCCTATGAGGATAGACTGAGGGCTCTGAATCTGCACTCTCTCAAAAGGCGTAGAATTAGGGGGGATAATATCGAGGTGTATAAATGGAAAACAGGAATAAATAAAAGGGATGTAAATAGTGTGCTGAAAATTTCCAGCCAAGACAGGACTCGCAGCAATGGTTTCAAGTTGGAAAAATTCAGATTTAGGAAGGATATAGGAAAGCACTGGTTTGGTAATAGAGTTGTGGATGAGTGAAACAAACTCCTGAGTACAGTTATTGAGGCTAAAACGTTGTGTAGTTTTAAAAATAGGTTAGATAAATACACGAGTGGGTGCGGGTGGGTGTGAGTTGGACCTGACTGGCTTGTGCTGCTGGGTCTGGTGCCATGCTCCTTCCTTGAGTGGAGGTGACCAGACTGGGTGGGTCATTGGGCTAAACTGGGGGGGAGGGGGAATGCAGGGAGGAACATGACCTGCTCTGCATGGGTCAGTAGGTCTGTTGCAGTGTTCCTTCTTTCTTATGTTCATTATCCACCAGAAAAGGTAAGAAATTTACTCTACTGTACACTACTGTACTGTGCTTTTAACTTTTTTTTCAGGTACAGATTCAGCTGTACTTAAGAACTGTACAGCAGAATCCTGGTAACTGTGGTTTCAGTTACTCACGGTTTACTATGGCCTGAAAATGACCCTTAATTCTGCCTAATACTGGTCCCAAAGTGCAAAAGTAATGATGCTGACGGTTCTTCAAAGCCTAAGGGAAGCTGTGAAATGCTTCTCCTTAGTAAAAATGTACTAATTCTAGACTTATTTTGCATAATTTATCAATTAAACTTTATCGTAGCTATGTATGTAAACGAAAAATGACATGTATATAGGGTTCGCTACTATCCACAGTTTCAGGTATCCACGTTAGGTCTTGGAACGTATCCCCCATAGATATGGGGGTCCTACTGTATTGTAATATTGTATGTACTCTATTCTTAGCATGTCCAGTAGCCCATCAATAAAGTGGCCTAATTCTGCTTCACTGGATGTTTATCAGTGTCTGACAGTTGCTAGATTAAGCAGATGTAATCCACTTAATCGAAGCTTTCAATACTGTATAATGGATTTCTGCTGAAACAGACACCCCTTTTTTCTTATTAGTCCATTTTATGAAGGTTTCACTGTACTTCAGGCACTCTGAAAACTAAAAGTCCCCACCAAGATTCATTGCCGAAAATTCACTAAAAAATAAATAAACTTTGTTTTTGGTTTTATTCTCTATAAATTCATAGGTATATCAATGTGCCTTCATGAGACAACAGGTTACCTTATCCCATGAAGCTTTCCAGGGCTCAGTCTTTAGTTTCTCCTCCTCATAGTACTCCACACCATGCCACAGTCCCATGCCACCAGCTGAGAACAAACCTGCAATGTAACACAAAATTTATTATTTAATTTACAAAATTTCTGTCAATGTCAGTGCAGTGTTATACTGAAGTAATGGGATGGCTAAGCTTTTGTCATTACATTTACTAACAGAATAACAATTTATTTCCTCTTATAACTACAGTATATCTAAAAATTATACAAGAAACAAGTCTTTGTTTTTGCACCCGTACTGTATTTAAGTTTCATTTGCCCTTTGCATATTTACAAATACTGTTGAGCACAGTACAATGGGTGCTCTATCCTGAAAACAGGGTTGAATGGCTGATCTAAAACTGACTGGGTCATAGAATGGGTAGACCTGATGTTCAGAACGTTGGAGATAAAGTATCAAGAAACGTACAAAAAATGGAAATGTAACAATTAACTGCATTTCCATTAAATAAGTCTAGTTACTAAAGTGGCTCATATTTGTCTCTAACATCCCAACAACAGTGACATCATCCTACTATTTTCCCCCTTTTATACAATATTAAGGTACATTTTCTATAAAACTGCTGTACATTTTTCTTTGATCTTTATCAAATACATTTATTTACCTTATATGTTCATGTATAGGTCGAGATTTTTAAGACCAAAAACTGAGGGTCTATGTCAGTATGAACTTCTTTAGTGCATCGAGATACAAACTACTCTCAGTAACTATATTCAATCATGAATAAAAAAAAAATATGATATTGATTATGATCCAGTGTATTCATGCTGGATCCAGTAGTTCATGCTGGATCCAGTAGTTCATGCTGGATCCAGTAGTTCATGCTGGCCTATTCATCGTCCTGTTCTACACAGCAGCATGGTGACGAGCTCTCAGTGTTATGAATATATGGATCAGTAGTAGCACCTGCAGTGATCAGTGTTATCTGGCCATGCTAGTCAGGTCTTTCTCAGATCCACTATTCTACCATTTGTTTTGCCTTTATTAAGTTACACACAAGTTGTGTAGCTTCAAAGAGCAATGGAGGGGGTGGGGCAGACTGGCATGAGAGGTTTTCAATAACATTGCTGGACAAATTATTAAGTGAAAGAGGTTCGGATAATAGGGGAGGCTGGCATAGCAAAGGTTAAATGAAATGTAGACATTGCAATATGGGTAGTCTTAATTATTGATAGTTTATTGCGTGCAATATCCATGAGTTTGACGGCTTTATCAATACAAATTCAAGAACATAATTAGATGACAGTAGTATATTAAAAAGATGAGGTAATCAGTCCCTCAGCATTGTCAGTACTGTACACCATTCATATACAACTTGTCACACATAGCAACATCAAGAATCTTGGTTCATAGGACATCTCCACAACCTTCTTAACTACTACTGACCCTCCCTCAGGTACGACCTACTTCTACTGGGAAATCCCGCCTACCAGGACAATGTATTTGTCTACTACACGTCCCTCACAACCTGACGTCAGTATACAGTGGAACCTCGGTACTCAACTTAGCTCCAGAAGGCTGTTCGAAAACCAATCTGTTCAAGTACCGAACAATTTTTTCCCAGCCAATTTTCTTTTTGGTTGGCTGTTATCACTAATCTTCATAGGCCCCATGGTGACTTATTTATACAAATAATATAAAAAACACTAAAAAAAAAATGTGAGGAAGTACAAAATAGCTTACAGTGAAGTACTGGCAGATCGTGTTTGTTTGGTCGAGTGTTGAGCAAATGGTCCACTACCAAGCGATGTATTTTTACCGAACAAAGCGTTGAAATACCGAATTGTTCGAGTACGGAGCTGTTCGAGTACCAAGGTTCCACTGTATAAGTGCCAGCTAACCCTGCCTGTGTGCCGGGTCACCAAATGGAAAAGACCAGACCAGGACAACACCAACGAACCCACAGTGGCTGGCCTGTGCTTCAGACTCTTCACAACTATGGTGCTCTTCACTAACTCTGATTGCGGGTTCTAACCCCACCTGTGGTAGGGTTTGTTTGCAATCGTGTCATGATTTCAGGAGTCCAAGACTTAGGGATTGGTTACCTCATCTTTTGTATATAGTCCTACTGTCTTCTAATTATGTCCTTGAATTTGTATTGATAAAGCCACTCATTACTGAAACATCTACAATACCTGGATATTGCAAATGTGTATAATTTTCACCTTTGTCAGTACTGTACACCATTCATGTACAACATAGGTTAGTAGGCCTACTTCAGTGCTCCACTAGTTTTGTCATAATGGTTGGGTGTGAGTAAGACCTGCCTAGCAGGGCATCGATTCAGGCAAGTAGAGTTACGGTATATATGTTGGTAAAATTACCAACAATATGTAAAGTAAAAGGACACAAGTGCAACTAATGTGACATTTTATTGTGGCAATGTGTCGCTCTCCAGGAGCTTTGTCAAGTCATTACAAACAATACATGGACACAGAGGGTATATATAGGCTTAAAGTGAGGTGTAATACTAGTGGTAGTAGTAGTAGTAGTGATATAAGTTGTAGTTGTAGTAATAATACAATATGGTAGAACAACAATTAACTTGCACATGAGTAAAAGGATATAAAAGCTATTACTTGGGTAGCATAAAAATAGGTTAGACAAATATCTCTATTGGAGGTTGGATTAGAGAAGGCCTGTTTCAGTGTTCATCCTCTGTAATGTGATTGTGTAGTATTAGCAGGAGAGTATGTGATGGCAGGGTTTACAGTTTTCAGGAGGATTCTTGCTAAGTCTTAGAGGGAGAGGGGGAGAGAAGGGAGAGGGGGAGAGAAGGGAGAGGGAGAGAGAAGGGTGGCCTGTACCTATTTCTGTGAGGACATGTCTTGTGTGCTCTCTGTAAATCTGAACAAGATGTCCTCTCTTAAGCAACTCTACCAGCAGCTTGAGATACAGTGAATGACGAAGGAAAACAAGAAGATTCATAGTAATCCTCCTGTTGAGAATCCTCAAACCAAGAAAGGAACCTGGACAGTGGCTGGAAAGCATGGGACAAAGTTAAAGATCAAGAGGATGGAAGGAGATGTAGAATCAACAAAGATCCAGGAAGCTGTTGTGGAAACAACCGAACCTATTCTCCGTGCTACCCGATGAATGTGACCTGACTACTGGGAACATCAAAATGAACAACACCAAGGAAGGTAAAAACATTGTTGTTGTTGTTGATGGGGATAGCCAGGTTAGGTACATGGATAAGATAAGATAAGATTTCGTTCGGATTTTTAACCCCGGAGGGTTAGCCACCCAGGATAACCCAAGAAAGTCAGTTCGTCATCGAGGACTGTCTAACTTATTTCCATTGGGGTCCTTAATCTTGTCCCCCAGGATGCGACCCACACCAGTCGACTAACACCCAGGTACCTATTTGCTGCTAGGTGAACAGGACAATAGGATAGGGCTTTCTGCTTGAAGGAAAGGAGTAGGAGACAGAGGGTTTGCTTTTCTGGGGCTGGGATAGAGGATATTGTTAGCCGGCTTGACAACATCATGAATGATAATGGAGTCAATCCTATTATCTGCCTCAGTGTTGGAGGCAATGATGTAGGCAAGCGTAGAAGTGAGGATTTAGTTAGAAGGTACAGGACAGCAATAAACATAATTAGGAAGAAGGGGAGGGGGGGGGACACTGTTATATGTAGCACTTTGCCAAGAAGGGGTGTTGGAAATGAATGGTTGTCCAGAGCAACTGGTATTAATTGTTGGCTGGACAAACACTAAGGATAATGCAGTACCATTCATTGACAACTGGGACAACTTCTATGGCCAAAATGACATGTATGCTAGGGATGGGGTTCACTTATCCAGGGCAGGTGTGGGTTTTCTTGCTAGCTCAGTTGAGGGTGTTGTTACGACTTTAAACTAGGATTAGCTAGAGGTATGGGTTTAGAAATGGAAAATAATGTGTCAAAATATGGATTTAGGCTTTGAAATCATAAATCTTAACAATAACAAGGCCAGTAATAGGTATAGTGGAATAACAGAAAGGAGCAGGAAGAGTAGAGAAAGGAGGGTCCTTAAACATATATTGCACAAATAGTCGTAGTGCTAGGAATAAGATGGACGAGTTGAGGTTAGTTGCTAGAGCAGGTAACACTGATGTGCAGTATTTGCCCAAACTGAGATGTGGCTCAATACAAAAAATCGGGACATGCCTGCTGAATGTCACATAAAGGGTTTTAAATTGTTCCAAGTAGACAGAAGTATTGGGAAGGGGGGTCAGGTGGCACTGTATGTCTGAGATCGCTCGAACTGCTGCATAAAACGGGTAAAAAATCTGAAATGACACATACAGAGTCTCTCTGGATAGAATTTTCAGAGGGATCATGAAAAATTGATTTTAGGTGTGATATATCATCCCCCAAACTTAGATAGGGACCAAGGGAGACTACTATGGGAGGAAATTGTTAAGGCCACACTGCACGATAATGTAGTAATTCTAGGGGACTTCAACTTTAGTCAGATTGATTAGAATTTCTTGAATGGGAATTTAGAATCTAACGACTTCTTAGAAGTAGTTCAGGATTGCTTTTTGAAACAGTTTGTGACAGAGCCTACAAGCAGAAATAACCTGCTTGACTTGGTTCTGGCAAACAAGGAAACCCTTGTTAATAATTTAGAAATTACAGAGGAACTCGGCGCTAGCGACCACAAATCAATTACCTTTAGCATTGAATGGATGTATGATAGTAGGGATAATTCAGTAACGGTCCCAGATTTTCGCTTAGCAGATTGCAATGCACTTAGAGAACACTTGTCATCTGTGGACTGGGGTAACGAAGAGAGCTATAAATATGAGAGCTTTCTGAGCACTGTACATGCTGCCCAAAGAACATTTATCCTGTATAAAGAAATTAGATCGAATAGAAATGACCCAAAATGGATGAATAACAGGCTCAAATATCTTCTAGGGCAGAAGAAAGGAATTTATAGGCGTATCAGAAGAGGTGAGGGTCATCTTTTGAATCGGTATATAGACATTAAGAGGGACGTTAAAAGGGGGATAAGAAAAGTAAATAGGACTACGAAATTAAGTTGCTAGGGATTCGAAAACTAACCCAAAAAGTTTTTTTCCTAGTGTATAGAACAAAAGTTAGAGATAAGATAGGTCCCCTTAAAAATAACTATGGGTATCTTACTGACAAAGAGAATGAAGTTGAAATTAAGACACATGTTCAACATCTGGGTACTTTTATTGTAGATGTTTTGCCATCCAGTGGCTTTATCAATATAAATTCCAGGACATAATTTGAAGACAGTAGAACTATATACAGAAGATGAGGTAATCAGTCCCTCAGCCTTGGAGTTGGTGCAAAGAGCACCAGTAGTCATGGATGTTCTGGAGCAGAGGCAAGGAGCCTGGCACTTATATACTAACATCAGGTGGAAAGGGAACGTGTAGCTGACGAGGGCATAGTCACTGGAAGGTGGGATTCCCCAGTGGAATTGAGTCTTACCCAAAGAGATGGGTTAGTTGTAGTAGTGGTTGTCGTAGCCGTGAAGAGGGTTATGTACATGTCCTCAGAATCAAGATTCCATGATGTTGCAGTGTCTGACAAGTTGTACAAGAATGGTATATAATACTGACAAGATGAAATTAAGACATGTGCAACATCTGGGTAACTTTATTGTAGATGTTTCAACATCAAGTGGCTTTATCAATACAAATTCCAGAACATAATTTCCAGAACATAATTTGAAGACAGTAGAACTATACATATACAGAAGATGAGGTAATTAGTCCTTCAGCCTTGGAGTTGGTGCAAAGAGCACCGTAGTTGTGGATTCCACTGGGGAATCCTGCCTACTAGTGACTATGTTCTCATCTGCTACATGTCCCCTTTAACCACCAGGCTCCTTGCCTCTGCTCCAGAACATCCACAACTACAATGCTCTTTGCACCAACTCCAAGGCTGAGGGACTGATTACCTCATCTTCTGTATACAGTTCTACTGTCTTCAAATTACATCCTAGAATCTGTATTGATAAAGCCATGGAATGGCAAAATGTCTAAAATAAAGATACCCAGATGTTGCACAGGTGTCTTAATTTCGTGTTGTCGGTATTATATACCATTCTTGTAGCACATGACAAAGAGGATGAAATGTGCTCTATTTTTAATAATTATTTTCGCTCAGTTTTCACTCAGGAAGACACTAATAATATCCCAATAATTAGGTTTTTAGTGGTCCTGAAGAAGATAAATTATGTGATATCACAGTAACTAGCAAAAGGTTATCAGATAGACTGTTTGAAGCAAAATAAATCGCCAGTCTGATGAGGTTTTTCAAGTTTCTTAAGAATGCAAATGGAACTGTAAGTTTAATACTATTTATTTATCTCTCAACAGTGTAATGTCTGATTTGGAGGCTAAGTAATCTATTTTAAAGAGGACAAGTCGTTCGCAAATTACAGTGGACCCCGCATAACGATCACCTCCAAGGACCAATGGAATGTAAGTGTATTGTGATTAAGGCGTTTGTATTATAGTTTGGTTGAAATTGTATCTACTTCACAAATTCTTATGGTAAAAATTCTGATCAGTGAAATGGCACTGAATCATATTTACGGAAGAAGGAAAGTCGTTAACCGGTCAACTTACTGCCCAATAAGCCTAACCTCAATTGTAGGCAAATTACTAGTCAATTATAGCTGATAATATAAGAAGCCATCTCGACAGGCATAATTTGATTAATGATGCTCAACATGGATTCACCAGGGGCTGTTCCTGCTTAACTAATTTATTAACTTTCTTCAGTAAGGCTTTTGAGGCCGTTGATCATGATAAAGAATTCGATATTATTTAGATTTTAGTAAGGTTTTTGATAGAGTACCACATCAGAGACTGTTAAAGAAAGTGGCTACTCATGGCATTGGGGGAAAAGTGCTGTCATGGATCGAGTCATGGCTCACTAATAGGAAGCAGAGAGAGTGCATAAATGGGGTTAAATTTGAGTGGAGATCTGTAACAAGTGGCATTCCGCAGGGATCAGTTTTAAGCCCATTGATGAGGGGAATTACTAGTGACATATGCAAATTCACTGATGACACAAAGATAGGTAGGATAATCAATTCAGACATTGATGTCTTGGAACTTCAGGAGGATTTAGACAAATTCAATTCGTGGTCAGAAAAGTGGCAGATGCAGTTCAGTGTAGACAAATATAAAGTTCTAAAGCTTGGAAATGTTCATAACCCTAGCACCTGCCAGCTTAATAATGTTGAACATTAGCAGTACAGAATGTGAAAAGGATTTGGGGGTTATGGTAAGCAGCAACCAACCTTAAACCAAGACAGCAGTGCCTAAGCGTGCGTAATAAGGCAAATAGATTGCTGGGATTTATATCAAGAAGTGTAAGCAACGGAAGTCCAGCGGTTATACTACAGCTTTATACATCATTAGTAAGGCCTCACCTAGATTATGCAGCTCAGTTCTGGTCTCTGTTTTACAGAATGGATATAAATTCGTTAGAAAACATTCAGTGACAAATGACAAAATTAATTCATCGCATTAGAAATCTTCCGTATGAAGAAAGGCTTAAGTCCCTTAAATTACTTTCACTTGTTAGACGAAGAATGAGTGGAGACATGATCAAGGTGTATAAGTGGAAGATGGGTATTAATAAAGGGGACATAAATAAGGTCTTGAGGATCTCTCTCCAAGAGAGAACCCGCAATAATGGATTCAAATTAGACAAATTTAGATTTAGAAAGGATATAGGAAAGTATTGGTTTGGAAACAGGGTAGCTGATGAGTGAAACAGTCTGCCTAGTAGGGTTATTGAAGTTAAAACCTTGGGTAGTTTCAAATTTAGGCTGGATAAATACATGAGTGAGAGGGACTGGATTTGAGTGGGACTTGCACATGAGTTAATAGAATTATCATAGCTTATTGCTTGGGTACAATTAAAAATTGAGCTGGGCAAATATTCTGTTAGTGGGATGGATTGTGAAGGACCTGCCTAGTATGGGCCAACAGGCCTGCTGTGAAGTTCCTCCTTTCTTATGTTATATTTTTAGAGGGAGAGGGGAGAGAAAGAGAAGGGAGAGGGGGAGACAGAAAGAGAAGGGAGATAAAGAGATAAAGTTAGCAGATCAAACAAAAATGCTGGCCCATAGATAACTCCAACTTCATCCTGTTCCCTTCTTGTATGTCTCATAACATTAAAAAGACTTTCAGATGAGCTGATGTAGGTAACAGCTTGTCAAAAAAGTTAGGAATCCTTAACCTAACCTTATCAAACCATGTGTAAAAAAAAGGGGGGGAGAGGAGAGAGAGAATGGAAAGGGGGGGGGAAAGAGATGGGAGAGGGGGAAGGGGAGAGAGAGAGAGATGGGAGATGGGGAACCTGGAGTTTACCTAAAGAGAGTTCCGGGGGTCAACGCCCCTGCGGCCTGGTCACAGGATCAGGGCCTGGTCAACCAGGCTGTTACTGCTGGCCGCACACAATCCAACGTACGAACCACAGCCCGGCTGGTCAGGTACTGACTGTAGGTGCTTGTCCAGTGCCTGCTTGAAGACAGCCAGGAGTCTATTGGTAATCCCCCTTATGCATGCTGGGAAACAGTTGAACAGTCTTAGGCCCCTGACACTTATTGTGTTCTCTTAACGTGCTAGTGACACCCCTGCTTTTCATTGGGGGGGGTGATGTTGCATCTTCTGCCGAATCTTTTGCTTTCATAGTGAGTGATTTTCGTGTGCAAGTTTGGTACTAGTCCTTCTAGGATTTTCCAGGTGTATATAATCATGTATCTCTCCTGCCTGCATTCCAGGGAGTACAGGTTCAGGAACTTCAAGCGCTCCCAGTAATTGAGGAGTTTTATCTCCGTTATGCACGCCATGAAGGTTCTCTGTACATTTTCTAGGTCAGCAATTTCACCTGCCTTGAAAGGTGTTGTTAGTGTGCAGCAATATTCCAGCCTAGATAGAACAAGCGACCTGAAGAGTGTCATCATGGGCGTGGCATCCCTAGTTTTGAAGGTTCTCATTATCCATCCTGTCATTTTTCTAGCAGATGCGAATTATACAATGTTATGGTCCTTGAAGGTGAGATCCTCCGACATGATCACTCCCAGGTCTTTGGCGTTAGTTTTTCGCTCTATTTTGTGGCTGGAATTTGTTTTATACTCTGATAAAGTTTTAATTTCCTCATGTTTACCACATCAGAGTAATTGAAATTTCTCATCGGTGAACTTCATATTGTTTTCTGCAATAAAGAAGGGGAGAGATGGGAAAGGGGGAAGGAAGGGGGGAGATGGGAGAGATGGGAAAGGGGGAAGAGAGAGGAGAGGAGGAGGGGGAGAGGAGAGAGAAGAGAGGGGGAGAGAGTGAGAGAGAGAGAGAGAGAGAGAGAGAGAGAGAGAGAGAGAGAGAGAGAGAGAGAGAGAGAGAGAGAGAGAGAGAGAGAGAGAGAGAGAGCAAAGGGGGGGGGGGGTAAGCGAAAGGAGAGAGAGCAGCAGTGGTAGATTAAGTAATTTTATTCAGGTATACACAAATACAGTAACATAGATTATCGTACATAGCAGCATGTGTGTAGAGAACCTAGGATAACCCAAAAAAACGGCAGTGACTTATTTCCACTGGGGTCCTTTATGGTAGTATATACTTACATGCAAGAAGCATGAGGATAGCAGTTGAGGCTATGTTGCCAGGAGAGCGTCGCCAGCATCCAGCTACTCCCGTCCAGAAGGCCACGAACACGAAGAAGAAAGACACTATGAACAGAGCAATCATCGATCGAGCCATATCTGTTTAGGAAACAAAATACAATATATTTATTTTAAGAAATACGAGAGAAACAATTATGCATACTATGCGTAATATGTTAGTTAGGGGTGTATCATAATATCGGTATTGGCTATTTTTATGGGATAGGTATCAGTGAAAACGTGGTCAATACCAACTGATACTTTTAAAAATTATAATTACACATATGCTTATAGTAAATTTAACACTACCTCACAATACATCACACAATACATACACTTCAACTAGTTATCTATGATTGTATTCTGGAACAGAGAATAATAAAAAATAAACTGCTAACAGGGACGTCGTAAGGGGGGAGGGCCGACCCAGGTGACACCATATAGGGGGTGACATCATAGAGCCTCTGAAGAAGGTGACACTAATGACAGTGCTGCACCAACATAAGAGAAGAATCCTTCGTTTCTATATAGCCTATTATATATTAACAAAGTACAAATAAGCCTATATAGGGAAATCATTGATTTTGATGATGTGATCGATGATTTTGCATAATTGAAGGCAAGAAAATGTAAGATCAGATTCACCGAGATGTTACCTGTACTCAAGGTCAAATTAGAACTAGTGTTTCTCTAATATTGCAATGTTTTTCTTTATTTTTCATTTTTTTTTTTTTGCATTGTTGAAGATGAATAAATGTAGGATCTGTTGCCTGTACTCAAAGTGGTATTTGAGTTTATGTTTCCTCAATATTACTATGATTATTATTTTGCATTAATAAAGTTGAGAAGCATTCTCCTGTTTGGTTTATGGCCCTTAAACGTTCTCATTGTTAAACATTAGTCACTGGTCATGCAGTAGTGACGTAACTAGAGTTTACCCCCTACCCATCTCCCCACCCTTGGATTTCATGGGAGTGACACCAAAGATGCTGCCCCGGGTGACACCAGAGATTCCGCCCCAGGTGACACTAACTCAAGCGACACCTCTGCCTGCTAACAGTAGGCAAATAGGTAGTGACTTCAGTTACTCTCCTCTGTGTTAAAATGGACATAAATAAAAAGTAAAGAGTAAAACTGGCATTTATACTGGGTATCTTTATTGCTGATTGAAAGTTCACTTATAGTAGCTACAAATGTTTAAGGCAATCTTACATAGTAGGATCTTCAATACACAACTCTGTGTGTAGTAGTATAGTAGTAGTCGTCTAGTAGTAGTTGTAGTAGTAGTATTGTGTAATAGTAACAAAGTAGTAGTAAGTGAGTTTGTTATAAGTTAACAGTAGTTTCTAGTACAGGTATCTACCTACTAACGTACATACTACTAAACCACTCTGTTACGCTATATATAGCGTCCTGCTCACACCTTGATGTTAGTGGTCGGATCGACACGTTCGTTGCGTTGCTCATTTTAGTGGGGATTATTGTGTAACGTTCTCAGTCACGGTTATGTGGTATTTTGTGTTTTATAGGATTCTTCAATTGTTTGTAGAATTTTTAAAAAATTTACAACATTGTACCTTACTTGGGTCTTTAATGAGGAAACGTTTTGCCAAACAGTGGCTTCATCAGTCCATACAAAGGAGAATCGTGAAGAACAGGAGTAGTTTGAGGTAATCAGTCCCTCAGACCTTGACGTCGATGTAATCTTATCGGGTCTAACGGGTTTTCCGGGATCAACGCCCGCTGGCCCGGTCCATTTTGCATCCACAAAATTCGCTAGTATGATTCCAGCGTAATCATTGTGTCCTAGTTCGCCTTGAATGGCCAGGTTCTCACACTTACAATATGACTGGCTATCAGTCCTACTCCCCCTGCCGTCACACTTCAGTGACCATCGAAATGACAATCTCAGACAATGAATTCAATATTGATGTTGAATTCAAACGCAACACTTTCGTATGGGATGATATTTTACTCACAGACAAGGACCCGATGGAAAAAAGTCATTGTCTTTATTGGATTACAGCCTTGGTTAAATCTACATAAAGTACAGTACTTTGTATATGTCCATAATGTGTGTGTTCTCTAGATCATGGATTACTGGTAATAGTTTGGCATGTTTAAGGCCTCTCGACTGCAAAAAAGACCAATTAAGGTCACAGTTCAACTGTATACCTATTACAAAAATATTTTAATCCAAAATGTAGAAATTAAACTAATATATATATATATATATATATATATATATATATATATATATATATATATATATATATATATATATATATATATATATATATATATATATATATATATAGGTCTGCCTAGTATGTGTCAGTAGATCTGCCTAGCATGAGTCAGTAGGTCTGCCTAGCATGCGTCAGTAGGTCTGCCTAGCATGTGTCAATAGGTCTGCCTAGCATGTGTCAGTAGGTCTGCCTAGCATGTGTCAGTAGGTCTGCCTAGCATGTGTCAGTAGGTCTGCCTAGCATGAGTCAGTAGGTCTGCCTAGCATGTGTCAGTAGGTCTGCCTAGCATGTGTCAGTAGGTCTGCCTAGCATGAGTCAGTAGGTCTGCCTAGCATGAGTCAGTAGGTCTGTCTAGTATGTGTCAGTAGGTCTGCCAAGTATGTGTCAGTAGGTCTGTCTAGTGTCAGTAGGTCTGCCTAGCATGTGTCAGTAGGTCTGCCTAGCATGAGTCAGTAGGTCTGTCTAGTATGTGTCAGTAGGTCTGTCTAGTATGTGTCAGAAGGTCTGCCTAGCATGAGTCAGTAGGTCTGCCTAGCATGAGTCAGTATGTCTGTCTAGTATGTGTCAGAAGGTCTGCCTAGCATGAGTCAGTAGGTCTGCCTAGCATGTGTCAGTAGGTCTGCCTAGCATGAGTCAGTAGGTCTGCCTAGCATGAGTCAGTATGTCTGTCTAGTATGTGTCAGAAGGTCTGCCTAGTATGTGTCAGAAGGTCTGCCTAGTATGTGTCAGAAGGTCTGCCTAGTATGTGTCAGAAGGTCTGCCTAGCATGAGTCAGTAGGCAGACCTACTGACTCATGCTAGGCAGACCTAGTAACCCCCCACACTCACACTCGTGCTAGTCATTCAGTGCTACAATGAAAATGTATACGTATTAATTACCTTGAGCTGATTAACAGTGATATAAGTAAATAAATACACATGTAAATGAAATTCATTTTTGTATTGCTTTTTTTTAAGGTCATTAAAGTTAAGGAAACGTAACTAATACATTCATGTAACTGATATGTTCATTTTATATTATTTTTATTGTTAGAAATCATAACTGATATTTAAGTAACTAATATTTATATAACACAGACTCCAAAGGAAACAAAATAAGTCAGTGTTTGACTAATGGGCCATTTTAGGTTAATTTCTACATAAGCTATTCGAGGAGACAACTGTAAAAATCTAAAGCTGTATTAAACCTAAATAAAAACCTAGTAAAAATTCCTTCAAGAAAATCGTAAGTTAAAAAAAAAAAATACCGTATTCTTCAAAAACTTACTACAGAAAGAGGCACAGCAAATTTTGTAACTTATCAAATAAATACTAACGCAAAAAGTCTGAGACGGCTTCATTTAAATTACACAAATATAATTTTACTCCCATAGAAATGCCATGCTGCAAATCAAGCACTTGAGTTAGCTTGCAAGTACGCGAACACAAGTCGTATCTACCACATTACGGAGTACCTTTTTTTTTTTTAATAATTCACACAACTCCAACCATTCACTTGATTTGTATGGACGTATGGACTGATGAAGCCACTGTGTGGCGAAACGTTTCCTCAATAAAGATACCCAAGAGTTGCACACGTGTCTAATTTATCAACATGTCGGTTCTCTGAACCATCCTTCTACAAACCTGTCAGGCACTGCAACTTCTTGGCATCTTAATACTTAGGAATTCTTCGCTTGCCTAATTCTTGGGCACGACCTACTTCCACATTGAACAAATGTGACACCACCTATGACTGCTACACCTCTCCTGCCATACGGTTTATAAGCTGCTTCTCCGCTCATATGTCGTATTCTTCTCAAGATTGATGGACTGAACACATCGACTCAAGGTTGAGGGACTGATTACCTCATTCTCCTCCTGTTCTTCAAGTTTCTCCTACGTATGGACTGATGAAGCCACTGTGTGGCGAAACGTTTCCCCAATAAAGATACCCAAGAGTTGCACATGTGTCTAATTTATCATTCACTTGATCCTGAACTAAGAATGTGCTTTCTTTAACCCAGCGAAACCCAGCAAATATCCCGTATTTTTTTTTTTTCGTTGTCTCATTTCGTAACTACTTTTTCTTCATGTCAAGATTTTCACAAAGCACAGTGGAGGGTAAGACGATGTCACAAAATGTAAGAGCGTAACACCAGTTGTCCTGCAGAAAGATGATACTCGTGTATAAGCATGAAGGAACTCTGTTCTGTAATTAAGTATTATGTGTAGGGAGGGCCTGGTTTATGCCTTCAGTTATCAGGCTGTTGCTGCTTGATACCATATTTCACTACAATACGTGAACACACCTAAGCCTCGCCTTCTATATTCTTATCCCAAACATCAGCACCACTCGACTGAAGAAGCCTACCGTGTAGGCGAAACGTTTCGGAATAAAGATACCTAACTGTTGCACGTGTGTCTTACAAGGTGAAGGGATCTACGCGAGTTCTGCGTCCTTTGTGAATATAATAAGTAGTAGTAGCAAGGAACTCGATGAACAGTGTTCAGTTTCCCTACAACATACATCACCGATATTTGTGCACGTGATTGGGAAACAGTTTGACAATCCTTGGGTGGTATTGAGGTTCCAGATTTTTTTCCTCAATTTGCTAGCTCTCAACATTACATACATATCCACAGATTACTTGTATGTGATTTAAGTATAATTTTACTCTCATGGCCTAGCTTAAGAGAAAATTTCCATATACTGCAAACACCTTATTAGTTATACGGATGATCAAGCAACAGCTCGGAAAAAAATTGCTCCATCTGGTTAAGACTGGAGTAAAGACACGTGGAACACTTAGGCATAAAGGAAAAATTTCAGCTACTAGTGGGCAAAATATAAAAAAAAAAAAACTAGTG